GAGGGACAGCTCGTAATAGCTCCAAGTCAGGAATCGACGTATATCCAGAGTTTTCGTGAGACCTTAAGCTAAGCATAAGAGAATAAGAGACAATTAGCATAATAAATTTTTTCAATCAATTATTAAACCGATGTATCAATACAAAATCAATCCTATTACTCATCCACTGTACAGAATCATCAATCAGTATCCGCGAGACATCTCATACTCCAAGACCATTCCTCGACTATGGCATCTACAAATTTTTCACTTGTAATCAAGTTTATCCAAGGTTCACGACAAACTTACCACCTGAAGTTAGCCTATCTATGTGATTTCTATGGTAGAAGCACCGTCAGGTGGTGCGTTTGACATGAATAACCCTATATGGAATATATATGTATAGGTATATTCGATATCGAAAAACAATAACATCCTACTAGTGAGCACCATTTGTCAAAGCCAAAACATATTGACCATCAACTTATCGAAAAGGCACGTTAACCATTCTGTAACCTAATCGAATAGAATGGTTCCCGCTCCTCTAACCAAGTGAACGGATTGGCCACGAAAGGGCTCCCTCGAACGGATTGGTTGGTAGCAGCAATCAGCGTGAGTGGGCGACAGGGACACGCGCTTCTCTTAGGTTATCAGCTTGATGAGGTCGACCTTCTCTTACTTGAGTTAGCTACTCAACCAGGGAGGAGAAGGGATCCGGTCCCCTTACCTCATCCTAACCACGCAATGACTAACCTTACCCCATTTATCCCTTAAGACTCTCTCAATGCTGCACTTCATCTATTTTCCATACTCTTGTTCGATTAGTGTATCCTAAATAAAAGGGGAAAAAAGGAAATATCAGTACAATTTTGTACCTTCGATATCCAGGAATATGTACCTAGGCGTATAGACGCGCCATATGACGCTAGTGACCTGATCGAGCCACTCTACGAGGGGCTGGTAATGACACCGGGGGTTCCCCGGCGACATGTGGCAGCCTCGTACCTCGACCAAACAATTTGTATTAAAATGAGTTACGCCACTACTCGCGAAACAAGGAGTTTTATTAACGCGTTATCGATTAAATTATGGCCCTGTATAATAATCGAGGGTTTTTGAATTAGTATCTTTTTGCGCTTATTTATGACCGTCGGTTAAAGTTATATATTTATGAGATATTCGATTTCGAATTTTAGCTTAACGTTATGTAGTACGTAGTTCGTATCGGACGCCGATAGATGTCGGGCATAATAAGACAATGCGATTGTTTTTATACTCGATGCTCTCTTTGTGACGGGACGAAAGATGTCGCCTGTGATTTTTCTTCCCGCAAGGGACTTAACGGAAGGCATATGGGTCGAAGAGTACAAAACAATGATATCGGTCCTGGTGACTAAGGACTCAGGACTAAGGAGTCGTGTAGTGAGTATCTGATGTGGGATCGACTGTTACAACTTGGCCGAGATAAGAAATTAGAGATCGGCCATAGGACTATGGGATAAGAGAGTGAACCGACTGGGAAATCGTCCTACCTTTCTTGTAGGTAATGTAGGTGGCATGAGAATCAACGTGGGTGGCAATAATAGCTCTACGGCAAGAGATTCTAGTGGCTGGCTATTGTCCAGCATTTTGAAGGTGATTGATCACACGCACACGCACCCGGCAAATGCTATCGGCTAACGATGATCCGACAGAGTCCCCATGACGTTCTGACACGCTATAACATCCGGCTAACCTAACAGGACTGAACAATTTTCCAACTCAATTGGTGAATAACTGAAAATTCCATACATAAGATGACGTCATTTTTGTTTTATTATTATTCAATAAAATTAGCCTCAACATATACTTCTTTAAATTTCAGTAATTTTTATCAAGAAAAAAATTACCCTGTGCCACATTAACCATCCGGCTGAAAATATGTGTAACGATATTATTTTAAATACCAAGGACAATTTTCCCACGGGGTAACTCTGAACATACTCGAGGGTTTCGTAAAACTGAAAAGGCATAGTAGGAATTATCTATTAACACAAGGAGAATAGGCGACACGCGCCACTTGACTGTGGGTCTTATCGAGGTCGGGTCAGGGTAGTTAAATTTTTTTCTTTTTTTTTTCTAGAGGCACTAGAACCAGAAAAGCCGCGCAACCCATCCACTACACAAGCTAGAAGGTCCTCTCTGGTACCGAATAGGGCCTCTTCAGTCGCTCAGACGGGTGCTTGTCCGTTCCTCTGTGTGTCTGTCTGTCTGTCTTCTTGAGCCTGTCTGTCTTTCTGTCTGTCCACCGGAGCGACCGACGTCCGACAAATACTACAACTATTCGTTCTCTCGCGTGTCTGTCTTTACTGCGAGAAGATATCTCGTCGCCCAAACATTGTGAAAACGCGCGTCTGGCCCGTCGGCCGGCATCTCTTATGCAGAACAGTTTATCTGGTAGCCACGTGCATTCGCTACTACGTAGTGGATACGTCGTGGTACCGTTTCTCCGTTCTTCACTAGGAAAAACGTTTATTTTTTAGATAAGAAAAATATCCACCACTCATTTGGACCGTTGGATATATTTTTCAGACACGTGGAGGAATATGCACCAAGATACTGGATGACGACCCGTGGCCTCCTTTTACCCCGTGTATTTATCAAGTGAATCCATACTTGAAATCCTGTGCGCCTATATTCACTTTGTGGATTCTATGAATAGTCAAGAATGAACGGTTATAACATGTCCACCTTAGAAATACAAAGAACCAATGGTAAATCAAATGTTTTAGGAAAAATTCAAGGAGTCGAAAGAATGCGCGAGAAGAGAATGGAAATAAGAGTCACGTCGTAAAATGTGTTTCATGGGAATGCCCAAGTAGAGTGTGTATGGGGATCTGACATGGTTCCACCATAGAAAGTAAAAGAGAAGTACATTATCAAGGGAGGACATTAAATGTGTAAATATGAGAAAAAAGTTTCAAATATATATATATATATTGTATATGTATGTACATAGAAGATACCTTTACCAGATACATGTTATATTATATGTATTCAAGTAGTTATGGTATAAAGCCACCTGCAGTTTTTAGTAAAGGAATCTCGATTATGCGGGTGTTGTACGAAATAGCTGCGGAGTGTCCCCATAGTGGTTTAATAGAATGTAAAGGGCGTACGTGTGGGCCAGGACATGTCTGACCCATGCAGGATGGGCCTTGCTCCATAGTTCTCGATCCTAGGACCCTCTTCCTCCCTCTCGTTGAATAGGACAGGGGGTTGTATGGCTATGGGCTCACCACGGGCGACTAGAATCTAGATGCTATCTCTTCTCCAAGCACCCCTGGCGTCTCGCCACAGATCTCGCACCATTACTCAGGCTAGTTGTATAAACACTCGAGCTGGTGTGACCGGGACGAGAGTGGCCGCCCATCGTGCGTGGGATACCGCGTAAAAATGAGTTGTGTCAACGTATGGCCGACCCCCCGGGTAGATGTCTCCAGGTGGCCAGGTTGTTTTATAATACCACTGGAACGGCCACTCTGCTCATCTGCCTTCGAAACTCACTTTTCCTCCTGGTGAACATTTGGTTCTGTCTTTCTCTCTATCTTCTTCTTTCACTGGGACTTGATAGTGTATGCCTTAATTTTTTTAACCTTATTCTTTTGGTCACACACCTATTTCCTTTCCTTTCTCTTTTACTCCCTGGATTACGGGAGCCAATTAGGCTGGACCATGTGAATGCTTAACACTTCCCTTGCTCTTATAGCTATGAAATATACCCTGGAATTCTTGGTTGTTGATAGCTTTGTACATTTTAGTTAAAGCATTTTCACTCTCAAAGGGAGACGTTAGTTGGATCTTTTTTGGGGGATTTATTTTTTTCTGGGGAATACTAGGGATTTTTGTATGGACGAAGGCGGGGCTCGGAAAGGTTGTATTTTTATTGATTTAAGAATTTACTATTGTAAGTCTTTCTTGCATTTTCTTATATATGGCTTTGGTTTAATCCGGGGAATTGCCAGTGATACAAAATGGCGGTGGGTATTTGGACTGGGGTTAAACTCATCTACAGTGGATTCATTTACGGGAATACTTTCTTACCGTAATTAAAGTCTAGATTGATCTCGCGTAATGACAGTGGATTCTTTTTCTTAAGCGGCACGTGCGAAAGTCAGATCCGTCGGAAACGGGAGGCAGTCATTTGATCATTTGATGGGATTGCCAGTCGGGTAGCCGAGCAGCCTGTCTCTACTGATAGGCCTGGAATAGGTTGAATCGGCCGCCGGCTGGTTACGTCTCACGAGCAATGCGGCTCGCGCCCTGTGGTTACTTCAATTAGGTAGAACCGTGCTCTATGGCTGACTATAGAGATCACCACTCACGAATCTGGACGTGCTTCCACCCTTTATATTACCACTAATCATCTGGAATCGATGACAGAATCCGGCATTGATTTTTCCGTGCACACGCGTTCCAATGTAAATTAGTTATTATCGTGATCATACATGGTGATATACGTATTTTAAATAGGATGTACGATATTATGCAGGTACAGATATGGAAAATGTTGTTTATCGTAGGATTAAAGGATTAGATCTTGCAAATAGTTGGTTGAAAAAAAATTCATTATTTCTTCACTTGTAATGGCGACACGAGAAAAAACTTCCGAAAGCCTGAAGCTGTGTTTTTTTATCGTGTTGGTACTTCAGAGAGGCAGAAAAAAGAGATGTTATTATCGGGCGGGATAACCAAAGGATACTCGAATTGCGCACGTGGCATGAAGACAGGATTCTTAAGTGTATGTCTGGTAGATAAAAAGCGGCCGCCTGAAATGTCCCACATGCCCCAATTGAAAGGAGCGTCTGCAAGTAGCGTCGAGGGCGCTGGCTAAAGTGGTTGCACAGCATGAACTTCGAGAAAGTCCTTCAAAGGATTTTTCCTACTTTCTTATTTGTGCTTATGACTGCCGAAAATTGGATTACGGTATAAAATTGGTTTCGTTGGTAAGTAGGAATGTGGTACAAATTATGCACGTTAAATTGATAATAAAATAGTTTTATTATTATGAAATTAATTTGATATTTCTCTGATCCGTATTACCTTTAGAAACTAGTCTAGTGAGTATTAAAAATTTTTATTTGTTCGTATATTTGGTTTAGTAACTTTTTTAAAAAAATCTCATAAAGAATAGTTAACATCATTTTAATCAACGTAGCTGTGACTAACGATTATTATTTATCTCTAGTTTTTAGCTCAAAGCTTTTGAGCAAAGATTGCCTTAGATAGAAATAGTTAAGATTGCCCATATCTTCTTTTTCATGCGTTTACAGATGAGGTCAAGAGTTTCCAACATTGTGGACTTCATAGAGAACTTTTGTTATTCTACGTTATCTTGTCTCTGACTTTGAAAATGGCTGCAAAGAGCCTGGTTGCACCCATGAAAAACCTACAGTTTTGTTTTCCCGTTCTTCCTAAAATAGGATAAAATAAAGTCATTGGAAATATTTAAAATGTGGAAAACTTTAAAGTATTAATGCATCTTTTTAAAATTTCCTTTCATACCTTCGGTTGGTAAATTTCTTCTTTTATAGGATCATGAAGATCATTGTCATAAGGGCTGAATGTAATATAGTGTGGATCATCTGTCGGTGGTGGATCATATACTTGACTTAAACTATTCTTTACAGATTCCTTTGCCAATTTTTGAAATTTCTCTACATCAGTTTCTAATCTATAAAATTCTCACCATTGAATTATTCATACTTTTTATACATTTTTTTTTATGTAGTTACTTACAAGGCTGCTGCTACTTGATTTATGGGTGTCATTTTTGAGTCCACCTTAGTCAAAATCTTTGTTATAAATTGTATCAGAGACCACACTCTGTTAGTTCTTTTCCATTCAGGAAAATTCCATGCAAGATAAAGTTCTCCACTGTCAGGATTTATTAGGGGATGAAAAACATTTGTTTGAAACACCACTTTCTAAAAAAATCACTAATGTCAAGTTTGTTTGAAATACCACTTTCTAAAAAATATCACTAATGTCATTAATGTTTTGAACTCAATATTTATAAATTTACCGGACAACCACCATCTGGGAAATTTGGGGGCAATGTTATAGTAAATCTGAACACACCACCCTGATAAATTCCTTGTCTTACAAATTGCACTCCAAACCACACTGAAACATATAATTTTTAAAAAAATGCATTCATAATATAGGAACTATGATACTCACAAAATGAATTTTGAGCCGAAGGTATTACATATATTCCCTTCAAGTCTTGAATACACACCATTTTACTAAAACATTAAATAAATTGAAAATATAAAAATTTCATAATATTTATAAGATAAGCAATATTATAAACATACTATTCAAAGAGAATAGAGTGTTCCTGTAAGAATACTCTGTATTCTTTATTATTTTGCAATAAGTTTGGCCTTTCAATCATTTTAGCCGACATGCTTAATTGGCTATCACCGTTGGTGTTCGCAGGTAGAAGCTTTCTAAAAGAACCCTGCCTTTTGAAATTATCCTCAGTATCTTCATCTACCTGAAACAATCACCTACAATAAGAAACATGAAAAGGAAACGAATTGGTAAAACACAAATACCACACTGTATTTGAAGAAATTATACATAATCCATGATTACCTTGGTCCCTGATACTGTAGCTTTCGAAGACATTATTCAAAATTCTCATAAACTATTACTTGCAGGCTGACATAAGATAGAAGTATTTATAATCCAAATCTGACACATGCGAACTGCAGTGCTACATTGAAATCATGGACTATGAAATAAATAAATCTGAACTACGTTTATAAAATCAGCGCCACCTCTTGTTTAACAGCTAACAGCTAAAGGGAAATGACGCAATAGTTGCGCACAAGGCAAATATAAAAAATTCTTTACAGTCATTTTATTAATCACTGAATCACCGTAATGTACAGAAAAGAAATAGATTACACAGTAGACACAAATTTTAAAAAAGATACATAATATTGCCTACAATATCATGTATTCTATTCGTATTGATTCAGTACAGTCAATAAAAAAGAAATCTTTTCTACCGATGACAGGAAACGCCCATTTTCTTGTAGAAGAGAGATGCTAGAGCCTCTACGTTCGTTTATCTCTATATGAACATCTTGAGCCGGATCTTGTGCTTTTCTGTGAACTGGGATCAGAGATCAGTAGGGAGATGCACAACGCTACGGTTTTAGGCGATACCAAAAACATGGTGCTAAATCGTAGCGGCGAGTCCGGGAATAGAATTTTGTGATCATCGCCTCCGTCGATAATGCATATCCCGTCGTAGCTGAGCTGAACGTGATCACGAACGGGTAGCCTGGCGGGCACAGTCCTCCGCTCCTTATCGCTGGTTCCCAAAGCAACACTTAGAACGAGACAACTCATCGGATATAGCCTAAATACTTTTTTTCTTTGCCATCCTAAATTTGATCGCACAGTGTAAGCTTGGTAAGTTTAATATGACAAAAGCAAGCAACTCATGTCTGCCTGCACTGAAGCGTATGATGCCACAAGCATATTTAATACATATTTTACCGATGTTGCGTAGCGTCCAGTACATCTTTCGATACTTGAGGTCCACTTTGGTGACGACTTGACGATTCCAGCCTTGGCCACTATTTTGCACTTCCTGTATTTTCGGTTGCGGACTAATTCTTCACTTGTTACGAATAGACCAATACACGAATTTC